AAAGTGTTAAAAAGCAAAGATATCACTTTAAGGACTAAGGTGCGCCTGACCCAAGCCAAGGTGTTTTCAATTGCCTCATATGAACTTGAAAGCTGGACAGTGAATAAAGAAGACTGAAGAAGAATTAATCAATTTGAATTATGGTGTTAGTGAAGAATACTGAATATACCATGTGCTGCCGGAAGAACGAACAAATCTGTCTTAGGGTTAGGGTTAGGGTTAGCCAGGATACTTCTTAGAAGCAAGGATGGCAAGACTTTATCTCACATACTTTGGACATATTATCAGGAGGGACCAGTCCCTGGATAAAGACATCAGGCTTGGTAAATTAGTGGGTCGGCGAAAAAGAGGAAGACCCTCAACGAGAGGGGTTGACACAGTGGTTCCAACAATGGACTCAAGCACAACAACAATTGTGAGGATGGCCAAGCAGTGTTTTGTTCTGTTGTACACAGGGTTGCTATGAGTTGGAACTGACTGGACGGCACCTAACAATAATAACAATGTTAACAGAAGCAGATTGCTGCATCTTCTTCCTGTGGAGCACCTTGTGGTTTTGAACTACCAACCTTTTGGTTAGCAGCTGAGCACTTAACCACTGTGGCACCAGGGCTCCTTTGTATTTCATAGCCAAGGCCAAAGTCTTATTATCATACAGGGCAATAACAGAGATGGCAAATACCTTTCAAATTGTGTGCTAGTTACAGTCAACAGGTGTTGGCAGCCTGGAGCATTATTTTGCAAAGGATTCTGAGGCTGAGTCCACACTCACCAGGAACAGTACTATAATCGTTAGCAGTAACTACCACCAGCCGTTTGTCAGTCCACCACCTGTCTGTCAATTCATCACAGACGGTGGCTTGCATGTTGCAAGTTGCTTTGATGCTGAAAGCTATGCCACTGGTATTTCAAATGCCAGCAGGGTCATCCGTGGTGGACAGGTTTCAGCGGAGCTTCAGACTAAGACAGACTAGGCAGAAAAGCCTGAAGATCTACTTCTGAAAATTAGCCAATGAAAACTCTGGGGCTCTAACCAAACACCTTGTGGGACTGGTTTACTGAGTTTAAAGGCTTCCGACCATAGTCTCATGGAACAACTCGATCAATTGTCATAATATAGGTCATAAAATTATGTTCTACATCCTAGTTTGGTGAGTATTGACTGGGGTCTTGAAAGCTTGCGAGTGTCCATCTAAAATACAACTATTGGTCTCTACTCATCTGGAGCAAAAGAGAAAGAAGGAAAGCAGACTCAAAGAAGAAACTAGTCTACAAGACTAATAGCCTACACAAACCACAGCCTCATCTACCCTAAGACCAGAAAAACTAGATGGTGCCCAGCTATCACTACTTACTGTTTCAATCAGGGCACGATAGATGGAACCTGATAGAATGGGAGAAAAATGTAGAACAAAACTCAAATTCTTAAAAGTCCAGACTTACTGGACCAGTTGAGACTAGAGGAACCCCTAAGTCTATCACCCTGAGATACCCTTTAAACTTTGAACTGAAACTACTTCTTGAGGTCATCTTTCAGCTAAATAACAGATTGGCTCATAAAATAAACAATGTCACCTGTGAGTACGGTGCTCCTTTAAAAAATTTATCTATATGAGACCAAACGGTCAACATTTACCCTAAAGCAAAGATGAGAAGGTAAGGGGTAGGGATGGGGAAGCTAGATTAATGAAAATGGAATAAGAATGGAAATAATGAGAATGTTGACACACTGTGAAAAAATGTACAATGTCACTAAACAATTTGTATAGAAATTGTTAAATGGGTACCTAATTTGCTGTGTAAACTTTCACTAAAAACACAATAAAATATTACTAAAAAATAAGAAAGAACAACAAAAAAAAACAGTGAATATGACACTAAAACAGAAAAACAAACAAAACTCTATGGATCACAACTCAGTATTATCTCGTATAGTGCGGGAAGATGAGCTTCCTCCGTTGGAAGGCAATCAAAATACACAGTGGCTGCAATAATGGACGCAAGCACGTCAACGATTGTGAAGAAGGTGCAGGACTGGGCAGTGTTTTCTTCTGTTGTATGTGGGGTTGCCATGAGTCAGAGCCGACTCCATGGCAACCAACAACAACCGTGCATAGGGAATGACACAGTGTTGCACAAATGTCAGGTTACCGATCATTCCTGAAACAGACTCTCAGTGCTGATGGGATCTGCGAGGTCATCTGGATGAAATCCTTGTTAAAGAAGAGGAAACTGAAGTCTAGAGATATGAAGTAACTTACTCAAGACAGAGTCAAGACCTACCTAATTAAGGATGGCGACAGGAGACCTGTCTCTCCTCTCCATTCTACCTTCAGCTGACTCATTCATGCCCACATGGGCCTTTCTACCTCAGTGCGGTACCAAGAGTTCATTCACCCTGGTCTCCAAGAACAGTTCTCTCAGTCATTTCTTCACTCTTTCAACGGTCCTGCCAAAGACTCCTGGCCTCCCATGACTTTTTATTAGTTTACTGTTTCCTCTGTAAAACCAAACCGGTTGTGCTGAGTCAACTCTGACTCATGGTGACCCTGTGTGTGTCAGAGTAGACCTGTGCTCCATAAGGTTTTCATGGCTGATTTTTTGGAAGTAGATCACCAGGCCTTTCTTCTGAGGTGCCTATAGGGGGATTCAAACCTCCAACCTTTCAGTTAGCAGCTGCGGGTGTTAACTGTTTGCACCACCCAGGGACTCAGTTTTCTCCAAACGAACCCTCTTTATGGACATCATGGACTAAATCAAGCCCAAGGTTTGGATGTAGTGACGGATTTGCCCAGTAGGTGGCATTACCAACAAGGAATGGATCAAAAGCAGATGTCTGAAGTGCACTTAAGCCAAAACTGTCAAAAGCCCTTCGCAGAATTCACATGTTCTGCAGATATGTTTGTATAGGGGCATTTAAAATCTTAAAAGTAGATAAACAGAAGATTGGAAGAAAATATATCAAAACGTTAAAAAGCAGTTTTCAATAAAGAGTGGTATTTTAAGTCATTTTCCTTTTTTATTATTTTCCATCTTCCATATCTTCTACAGTGAACAAAAAATTTTCATAATAAAAGTTATTAAAATAGTGGCAGACTATTTTAATAAAATGTTTGCAGAATCTGAGTACCAGAAAGACATTTACAAAAGCATCTAGGAACAAGATAATCTATATTTCTGTCTCATATGCCATATATTCATGCAAATACAACTATGTAAAAAAGCAGCTTAGAATGATGGAATCCTGTAATACTTGAGCAGTGTGTGATGTACTTTAAAATAGTTTAACTTTATCTAAAAAAAGATGGATTTAGTTAAATTGGAGGCATCACACTGAATTCCTAACACATGTAACCATTTCAAGATTACATAATATGTTCTTTACATTCACTTGCTTAAAAGATGAACAGGGTGAAGAAGATTCATCTAAGTATATAGGGGTTATGCTGCTTCATCTCAAAATAACCTAAAATTTAACACTTACAACATTAGTGACTTAAGCAAGGTGCTAAAACTTCCTAATTCTAATTTATTTATAAATAAATGTATTGGTACCTCTGAGTACATATGTATGTATATATGTATGAATGTATTTAGTAGGTGTTCCTTACTATAAATTAATCAGTGCAAATGTCACATTTTTTATTTTTGGTCAAAGTCCTTAATTGTCTTCTTTCTCTTAAGGTATTTCCTTAATACTCTTCAAATATGCGGTCCCTGGGTAGAGCAAATGGTTAACACTTCGGCTACTAACCAAAAGGTTGGCAGTTCAAGTCCACCTAGAGGCACCTTGGAAGAAAGGCGTGGGGATCTACGTCTGAAAACTCAAGCCACCGAAAACTCTCTAGAGCACAGTTCTACTCTGACACACAAGGGGTTGCCATGAGTTGCAGTTGGCTCAACGGTCACTGGTTTTTCTTCAAATACAAACTTAATTTTGAGTTGGTTTAGCTACAGATCATGAGGCTCCTCATGGAGAACAGCTCCCCAAGTCTGAGCCCTTACCTGGCAGAACAGGACTGACTTGACTCTCCGGTCCCCAAAAGGTGGAATGATTCCTCTTCTCTGTGTTTGATAATGCAGGTGGCTGATTTTGGGCGGTAGCTTTCGGGTCCATTTCCAACAAGGCGTGCCCGCCTGCATCTTCGCTCAGTCCTGTGGTTCTTGACTGGGCAGGACTCACTGCCGTGTGAGTCACCATCTTGTGGCCAATGTTTACTGAAGAGTGGAAGAGCTACCATTAGTTCTTGGATTCCTTTTCTGAACTTTAACTGAAAACCACTAAATCTGCAATTGATTTAAAGTGACAGATATCTGGGAATAATAGCCGCCCCCCCCCCCGCCATGTAGGACATACCAGAGCCCCATAAAATACTGTTCTCTAAGTTTCAAATTGGTAATCTGTTCTCTCTTGTTACAATAAGTAACTTTCTAAATGTTACACATAAAGAAACTGACAAAGACAAGACTTAAACCTAAGGTTTTGAGATTTTGGATCCTTCCTCAAACCAGTACTTCATTAAACTTTCATTGGTTTTTCTTCTTTCTTATGGTTCATTTGTCTGTAGGTGACATTATAGCTCTGACTTAGTCATACTCTGGTATGTCTAAACTTTCTTGAATATGATCACAACAAAATATTAATTCACTTCAATTAAAAAAAAAGCATATGCTATACAGCATTTTTAGATTGGAGAAGAATCTTTCAGAAAATTGAAAAATGAAGAAACCAAAAGCAACACCAAAACATTTACAACTGAGACTAGAGACTCACTGTTGTTTTGTGCCATTGAGTCGATTCTGACTCATAGAGACCCTATAGGACAGAGTTGAACTGTCTCATAGGGTTTCCTAGGCTGAAATCTTTACAGGAGCAGATTGCCAGGTCTTTTCTCCTGTGGAGTGGCTGGTGGGTTTGAACCACCAACCTTTCAGTTAGCAGCTCAGCTGAGCATTTAACCATTGTGCCACCAGGGCTCTTTAGAGGCTCATAGTGAACTTATTTAAGGCACAGCTTTTTCACATAAAGTTAAACCTAAAACCAGGCAGAAGAAGAACAGTAAATATGGAGTTCCCATTTTATTATAAGAACACAGCCATCCCTACTACCTCCTCTTTACCCACTTTGCCTGAAATGCAAGGCAGCCCACTCACGATTTTGACAGAAGGCCTCATCGGACCCATCAGGACACTGCTCCATTCCATCGCAGGCCAGGGTGATGTCAATGCAACAGCCATCATCACAGAAGAAGTGATAGCGTGAGCAAACCTTCAAGCATCCTGTTCATAAACGAGTCTCAAATGATGGGGGGCAGGACAATGAAGACTTTCACTGAGTCGAGATTAACAGAGACCATGTGTAGGATTGAGTCCCTGCATGGTGCAGTCAGTTGCTTAGCTACTAACTGAAAGGGTCACCATGAGTCAGAATCAACTAGAGGGCAACTGACTTCTTTTTTCTTTCTTTAAGATGAGTGATACAATGCAGAGGTCCCTGGGTGATGCAAACAGCTGCTTAGCCTAAATGCTGGCGATTTGAACCTACCCAGCAGTACCATGGGAGAAGAGGCCTGGAGATGTGCCTCTGTTAAGATTATAGCCAGGAAAACCCTACGGAGCAGTTCTACGCTGTAGCACACAGGGTCACATGAGTCGGAATCTACTCGATTAACAACAACATGATATTATGCATTTGGACAAAGAGATGCAGTTGACAAGGAGCTGGAGCAAAAAGCTCTGGATAGTTCAGAGGATCTCTTCTTGATTATCCTGACTTAATTCTCAGGAGTCACCATGGGCCATTCTCCAGCCTCCACTGCCTAAGAGAATGAGAACAGAGAAGCAGCAGCTATGGTCATCGCTGCCTGGGTTTCCTCCCTCTGTTCTCATTCTGAATTCATTCATTCATCTCTTTCCTGGGCTCCTCTTCTTTGGCCATTCATTGCTTCTCAATAGCCCACCTCACCCCACCCTACCCTACCCCCTTGGTGGCACTGGGATGACCATATTTTAATGGAGATGCCATTTTACATACACTATATTTTGCATTTGTTTCCTAATTAATACTTTTTACTAGGTTAGCTTCCTGCTATTGAATCTTATCTGTTCATTACTGTAACATTCTTGGTGCTGTAGAGAAAAAATAGAATCTTTAACTACTGTTGTTGTTGTTGAGTGCCATCAAGTTGGTTGCAACTCACAGCGACCCTATGTACAACAGGACGAAACACTGCCTGGTCTTGCACCATCCTTGACATGTTTGAGTCCATTGTTGCAGCCACTGTGTCAATTCATCTCACTGAGGGTCTTGCTCTTTTTCGCTGACCCTCTACTTTTAACTACTGGATGGTATGAATTTTTTTCAAATAATGTACTTTCCTTCCTTTTGAAGCTCTTAGGCATTTTTAATGGGCAGTGCAATTTGTAGAAGCTACAGATATTCTCTTGAAAGGCATCTTTCCCCTCCTCAGTTAAGTCAACTTTCTTAGACTTAGCCTTACAAGAATTGGGTGACTGTCTGGCAGTGGTAATGCAGACTAAAGGTACCAGGCTAGAGTTAGGGTGTACGGAGTTCCACAATTTTCTAGGGGCAGAATGGACTAAATAATTTTCTCAGAAACATGGGAGAATGGCAAATAAATGTGGGCATATTCCATAGAGAACAAATAGCTGAGCACAGAACACACACCCAAGCAAATGCTTGGATACATATTCTGTTGAAAAGCAGCTAAATTCAAGAGGTTGGAAAAGGAGTTCATCTTGGTGCAAGACAAACTGAAGGTATCTGGATGCAAGAGGAAGAAGAGGATTAAAAAAAGAAGTGGTACTAGGTATATACCCAAAAGAATTGGAAGCGGGGACTCAAACAGGTACTCGTACACCAATGTTCATTGCAGCATTATTCACAATAGCCAAAAAGGTGGAAAGAACCCAAGTGTCCATCAACAGACAAATGGATAAACGAAATAGTCTATCCATACAATGGGATATTATTCAGCCATAAAGAGAAATGAAATTCTGGTGCACACTACCACATGGGTGTACCTTGTAGACCTTATGCTGAGTGAAATAAGTCGGACATAAAAGGACAAATATTGCATGATCCCACTTCCATGAAATATCTAGAATAGGCAAATGCACAGAGACCAAAGTTTATTAGTGGTTAGCAGGGACAGGCGGGAGAGAGAAGTGGGTATTATTTAAGGGGTACAGAGTTTCTGTTAACAGTGATGAAAAAATTTGGAAATGGATAGTGGTGACGGTTACACAACATGGCGAACGTAATTAATGTCACTGAATTGTATATGTAAAAGTTGTTGTAATGACGAATGTTCTGTTGTGTGTGTGTGTATATGTATATACATATAAAGACAAGAAGTGGTAGTGGATGCTCTTGGAGAAGAAAGATGAAGCAAAGAGCTGACGGTTTTGACTGAGAAGTTGGGCTTAGAAAGAAGAGTCAGCGTCAGCCACAGGGAGAGAGCTGGGAGGAAAGGTGAAGGGGAGCTCCGTGAACGGAAGCAGGATACAGTGACTGGTCACATGTGTTAAGAGTATGACATGAAAATCCTAAGTATCTCAAGGTGTTATTCACATCTTGGTAGTTTTTGGAGATAGACCCTTATTTCTCATTTATCCATCTATTTCTGGATTTTTGTTGTTGTTAGATGCTGCAGAGTTGATTCTGACTCATAGCGACCCCATGTGACAGAGTAGAACTGCCCCACTGGGTTTTCTAGGCTGTAATCTTTACGAGAGCAAGTCTCCAGGTCTTTATTCCGTGCAGCCACTAGTGGGTTCCGACCACCAACCTTTTAGTCAGCAGCTGAGCGCTTAACCATTATGCCACCAGGGCCTCTATTTCTTCTTTTAGTGGTCTCCAATTTTTTTTGACCATGCATCCTTATCAATAATATATTGTTGAACATGTATCTCTGGTATATGGGTATTTACTTATAAATGATATACACGGACTACTATACTAATATATTGTACTTATTATAAAATATACTGAAAACTTAAAGGATCAGATCCAAAAATAATATGAATCGAAGTTCTGGTGTCTTCTTCCCCACTCTAATACTGATGTCTTGAATATCTCTGGGGTATCTCATTTGGAAACCACTGATTCAGGTCATATTGAAAGTACTTGTTGGTTTGCTGTGTGAATATTTTTTCTAAAGCTTGAAAATATGCAGCCTCTACAACCAAAATTAAACCAAGTTATTATCATATAAAAACAGCCCTTGTGGAGTAAACAGTTAAGCACTTGGCTGCTAACCTAAAGGTTGGTGATTTGAACACATCCAGAAGCTCCACAGGAAAAAGACATGGTGATCTGCTTCTGTAAAGATGACAGCCCAGAAAACCCTATGGGGCAGTCCTACTCTTGCTATGAATCAGAATTGACTGAACAGCACTTACACAACAACATAATCATATAAGCAGGGGTACCTGCTTGTCTATTTACCCTACAAGGTGTCACCCTTGGTTACCATTACAGCTGTTGTTAACTGCAAGGTCAATATACATAACAGAGAGGAGAAAAACACCCCACTGCCCCCACCTTTGGTTTTCAATGTCTCTCTGTGGTGTTTTATTAACTTTAATTCATAGGGTGTTATTCTACTCTAACCAGTAAGTGATTTCACGGAGCAGTTTGTATTATACCTATTCTTTTTTATTTTCTATGTAAAGGTACATACACACGGTCTAACACAAGCAGCTTTTAAGCAATCAAAAGTGATTCACATCACTCTCTGCTACTTCAAATACATTTTATTATCATCTTATAGAATGGCCAGAAATTTACAACTGGCAATATACCTTTGGAGTCTGGAAATATTGGCCTAAGTAAATAAACCAGGGCAAATAACTGGCTGTGAAGTGTTAGCCACCTGCTTATCTTGGTCCAGGCCCTTTCTCCCCTCGCAGGCACCTCGGATGTACAAGAGCAATCCTTTTCTAGTTTCTGTAGGAGATGACGGGGCATCTGTTTCTTCTTCCTATAAGGGCTACAGTTCCCGAGCATTTTCCTACCAGAATCAACATGGGATGTGGTCCCTGCCCAGGCAAGAACTGAACCCTGGGGGAGAGCCTTCTGGGCCCAGCCCACACAGTCAGCTTCAGTGCAACGCTTGTGAGTGATGTGGGCTGGAGCCAGACCTCGTGCTTCCAACGGCCCTGGCACCTGCCTAGCATGCCAGGGTGCCCAATAGTGTGGTTGTTGTTGCTGTTTATTGTGGTAAATATACACATAACAAAACACTTGACATTTCAACATTCTGCACGTGTAAAATTCAGTGGCAGTACTGACATTGTTTTGAATAACTGGCTGGCTGTTCTGTGCAATTTCAGTAAGTCAGCAGGCCCTGCCAGAACCTGGCTGGTTGTACGTACTCTACTCGCTCACCACTGCTGGTGGCTCAGTGCCGAAGTGCACGGGACTTTGGTGTTTGACCCGTCCATGTGCAGTCACCCCTCCCTCCGCATGGTCAGCTTAAACTTTAGCTGCACAAGTGGTCAGCCAACCACCTTTTGAATGGTGCTTATGGTTTGTATCCCTGTGGAAGGTGTTATCAAGGCTCCATGACCCAAGGATTCTGAAATCTCTCCTGTTGCTGTGGTTGTTGTTAGCTGCGGTCCAGTCAGCCCCAACTCATGGCGACGCCATGTGTTACACAGTAGAACTGCCCCATAGGGTTTTCTTGGCTGTAATCTTTACAGAAGCAGTTTGCCAGGTCTTTCTTCCACAGAGCTACTGGGTGATTTCAAACCACCAATCTTTAGGTTTGCAGCGGATCGCAAACCGCTTGCACCACCCAGGCTCCTTCTAAAATTTCTAACTCCTTGTAAAACTTCATTTCAAATATGCATACTGAACTGCGTTTTGTTCTGCTATGTGTGTGCTTTATCTTTAATTTTATTGTGGTAAAATATATGTAACATAAAACTTGCCACTTTAACAATTTTAAATGTACTATTCAGTTGCATTAATATATTGACAATGTTGTGCAACCATAAGTACTATCTACTTCCAAAACATGTTCGTCACCCCAAACAGAACCTCAGTATCCATTCACCAACAACTCCTCATTCACTCTCTCCCCCAGCCTCTGCTAACCACTAATCTACTTTCTGTCTCTATTCATTTGCCTATTCTCTATATTTCATATAAGTCAGAATCATACACTATCCTTTGGGTCTGACTTATTTCACTTAGCATAATGTTTTCATAGTTCATGCTGAACTATGTTTTTGATGGAAGACTAAAATCAGCTGCCGTTGAGGCGACTCAGACTCATGGTAACCCCGTATGTGTCAGATGAGAACTGTGCTCCATAGAGTTTTCAGTAGCTGAGTTTTTGGAAGTAGACTGCCAGGCTTTCTTCCAAGGTGCCGCTGGGTGGACTGAAACAACCAACCTTTTGGTTAACAGCCACGGACGTTAACCATTTGCACCACCCAGGAACTCCAAATGGAAGACTAGATCAGCTATACTACAAGTAAATCACAGTTCTCTTCCAATTGCTTTATCTATCTTGTTCAAACTGCTGGCTTAATTACCACGCAAATATGGAGTATTCAAGGATGACGGAGGCTTGCTTCAAGTTTACCTGAGCTATGCCAATGGCAGGGCAGCTTCACCCGACTGTAAGCTACACGAGGACAGGGGCCACGTCTATTGAGTGCAGCCCTCTAACCCCTATGCAAGCAGTTCCTGCACATGGGGGACCCTGTGAAAATATCTGCTGGCCAAACGACAGAATCCTCTCCTCAAATACAGAATGTCTCAGCACTTCCTCATGTTATGGGTTGAACTGTGTCTCTCAAAAGATACGCTGAACTCCTCACCCCTGTATCTGTAATGTGATCCTGTTTGGAAACAGGGGTTTTCTTTTGTTATGTTAGTGAGGACATACTGGAGTAGGGTGGTCCTCAACCTAATCCCTCCTGAGTGGTGTGCTCTAAAAAGAGCAGAACAGACACAGACACGTACACAGGGGGCAGAGACCATATGAGGAACTGTTCACAAGCCAAGGAATGCCAGAGAACGCCTGGGGCTACCAACAAGGAGGGACCCTCCCCTAGAACCAGATGCCCTGATTTGGACTCCTAGCCTCCAAAACTGTGACGATAAATTCCTGTTCTTTAAAGTCACCTACTTGTGGCCTAGGAAACTAAGATAGCTCGGAATTAAACAGTGTACAGGTTTCCCTCTGCAATACCACTATATCTTTAGTGCTTCCAAGTTCCACGTAATGGGTTGTTGCTATTTTTTAACTTGATGAGTAAATCTAAGCAATATTCATGTTTGGGAAAGTAAGAAACATAGATGAATGAAATAAATCAGTTTTACATTGTGTAACAATACGAGATCCATTTTATATATTTAAAACAATATTATTAATGCATCTATGCATCACTGTAAAGTGTCTATGAAAAATTTTAAAGAGTACTTTTCAATAGACATGTGCTCTTCATGTATTTTAATTTGTACTCCTTAACTGCACACTCTGAATATACATATCAAAAGACCCTCCACCTTTAAATAAAATCCATTCCTGGAAAAGCCAGACGATTGTCTTTTACGAAGATGAGTCAAGAAAAGAGGGAGTATCTATAGGGTCTAGCCTCTCACACAGGCTATTACGCATCCTCTGGGAGACTGCCCTCAGCAATGCCACTTATCCCAAAATACAATGGAGCCTGTTTTTGTTATTACATTTTTAGTAAAGACTATCTCATTCAACAACAACCAACAACAAGATGGAAGAGCCTATGGGAGGCACAGCTGGAACATAAAATACCAACCCAGCACCACCCTTCCACACAGAGCTCATTTCTGTTGGCCACTGTGGACCTTGTGAGGGAAAGACATTTCTTCTCACCTCCCGTGGAGTAGGCCTTGGGGAGCACAGTCACTGAGATGTTGTCGGAGCTTTTCTGACCCGCGGTGTCAGTCACGGTCAGCTGGAAGGTGTATGTTCCTTCTTGTAAGTGAGATAGCTTCAGTGTTCCCGAGTGAGGCACCTGATACCCAAACAGGAAACATCATATGTAGTTAGGAGACCTGTGGTACAGAGTTTAACATTATCCCAAACTGGAAATCAGTGGCATCCTTGGAGCGGTCCCATGATCTGCCTTTCCATGCCTGGTCCACATATCATCTTAGCAGGTTGGTCCCACCCTAAATTCATGATTTCCAATTTTATCTGGGATGACAATACCCTCAACTAACAATCCCTTTACTTGTCCTTAGCAGCCGCTGTTCCAAACCTATACCTGCTCTCCAAGCTCCACGCCCGATATGTAGTACATTCCTTCTCAGCAAGTGACTCATCTATTACAAGGGAAAAATGAGTACCATAATTGTGGCTATAATTATAGCTTCATCACCCACCTCCTCCTGGTAATGTACCCATTGTCACCTTCTTCCCTTGAGCCATCGGGGATGAAGAGTCCTTCTTATGCTCCAGGCCTACCCCTTTGTTTAGTCCTTGACTCCTTTCCTCTTGTGATGTTAAAAACACTGACTTATTAATTAATTTCTATTTCAAATGACTCTGCCATTACTATGCTCAAGTTTCTCTTGACCCAGAAAACAAAACAACAACAAATAAACTCTCTGAACTCCAAGGCTGCCTGTGGCTATACTTAACCCAGTTCAATCTGTATGCTTGAACAAATAATGAAAGAAG